CTTCTCCGTCAGGTCTTTCCGCTTGCCCCACCTCCGCCCACCTCCGCCCGCCTCTGTCCACCTCTGTGCGACGTCCTGCGTCTTCCGCTCCGGGGGGGCCTCATGGACTAATTGCCCTATTGGCTGCAGAGCTCGCCCAGGCCAGATCCAGAGTTGAGCGTCCTGGTGCGGGCTTTTTCGGGGCCCTGAAGTCTGAAGCTTTTTTGCCACCGCAGCCGTGTCTCATAGCGTTTCGGAACGCTTCGGCGACGTTTCGGAGACGTTTCGGGGACGTTTCGGAAACGTCCCAGAAGCTCACGCCCCGTGGGGAGTTGGGCCCTCGTTTTCCTTCCCCTCCGCTCTCGTCCCTCGGCGTACCCCTCGCCCCACGTGTTCCGCCATCCCGCAGGACGCCCCTTCCCATCGCCCGGGTGCTGCGCCCGCATCACCTACTGCGGCGCCTACAGAACGGCACGCCACTCGCGCGTTTCGCCACGCCCTCAGGCCATGAGGTGACGTGCCTGGTGGTCTGCCGCTCGCCCATCGTGGCACGAACATATTGCGTTCCGCCGCGGCGGGGGAGGCGCAGGCCTCTTCTGCCCAGTCCCGCCCCGCCCCTCTGGTCCCCGCTCGGAGGAACCCTTCGACCTCTCCTCCCCGCCTCGCCCCGACCCCTCTCCTTTCGCGCTTACAGTCGGACTCGATTGGACAGGACACGCGAGAGGACACAAGACCAATTCGAGGGCCACATCGCCACAGGAATGTACGAAGCATGGGTCGCGAGACACAGGACACAAGGGTACCCTTGATTGTAGTGGCCTCCGGCCAGTGCCGCCGATCCAGGGCGCTCCCGATGGCGCTGGTTCGCTTGGAGGCCTATGAGGCCGTCTTAGGGCTCTCTTGGGGCCGTCGTTGGAGGAGGCCTCTTCAGGGGGTCTTTGAGCCTCTTGGGGGCTTCTTGGAAGCCTTTTTGGCTGTCTTAGGGCGTTCCTGGCCCGTCGGACGCCGTCTTGGGCGCCTCGCTGTGCCGTCTGGGAGCACTGTGGGGGCGCTTCAGGGCCGTCTTGGAGGCTATCTTGGCCGTCTTGGGGGCCCATGGGGACGTCTTGTGACCTTCTTGGGGCCGTCTTAGGAGCCTCTTGGAGGCCTCAGGGGCCGTCGGAAGGCAGAAAATAATGAAGCGCCCAAATCCTTCAAAGCAGTCAGAAAGTCAATGAGTTGGGTCTTTTCGGGCCTTTATTGGAGGGCATTCTGGGCCATGTTGGGCGCGTCGTGAGCCGTCTGGGAAATATCTGGCGGCCATCTTGGGCTCTCTGGCCCCAAGAAGTTTGGCGGATTTGTGCGTGTCCCAGCCCCGCCCAGAAATCGCAGCACAGGCGCCCCCCCACTTCCCCGGCAGCGCCCCCCCTGCCCCCCAAACCAGCAGAGCTGAAGCTCAGGCTGTAGGCTGTAGCTCAGGCTCTTTGAAACTCACACGCTGGATCGGCGGATATCTGATGTCTGTTACACGTGTATGTATGTATGTATGTATGCATGCATGCATGTATGTATGTATGTACGTATGTATGTATGTATGTATGTATGTGTGTATGTATGTGTGTGTATGTATGTATGTATGTAATGTAATGTAATGTAATGTAATGTAATGTAATGTAATGTAATGTAATGTAATGTAATGTAATGTAATGTAATGTAATGTAATGTAATGTAATGTAATGTAATGTAATGTAATGTAATGTAATGTAATGGAATGGAATGGAATGGAATGGAATGGAATGGAATGGAATGGAATGTAATGTAATGTAATGTAATGTAATGTAATGTAATGTAATGTAATGCAATGTAATGTAATGTAATGTAATGTAATGAAATGCAATGTAATGCTATAATGTAATGTAATGTAATGTAATGTAATGTATTGTAATGTATTGTAATGTATTGTAATGTAATGTAATGTATTGTAATGTAATGTAATGTAATGTATGTATGTATGTATAAACGCTTGCGGTCGATAAGTCGGGGGTGGGAGATCAGGGGTGCGGAGAAGGCATGGCCGTAAAGAGATTGCATGGCAGTCGCTGTTGTGGCTCAGTCTCTTGAGGCTTTTCGCCCTGCGGGGCATGTGTCTGACCCTGGCTCCGGGCCACCGCCACCCGCCTGGGAGCCCATCCAGGAGGCGGTCGCCTCACCTCCTGGGCCGCCGCCTGGCTGGCCCCCGCGGCCCCCTGGGCGCTACTGCGGGTGGTGCTCGGGGCGGCTGGGGCCCAACGAGTCGTTGGCCCTGGCCTTGGACGGCCAGCTCTGGGAGGTGTGCGAGCTGGGCTACCTCCTGGCGCTGGCGCGGCAGCACGCCTGGCGGGCCCGGCTGACGCCAGGCGAGCGCGCGGTGCTGCTGGAGCAGGCGCGCCACCTGACGGCCCTCCTGGCGGCGCTGGCTGGCCTGGCGGACGAGGGCGTCCGAGATGCCGCCCAAAGCTAAGGCCAAGGCGAAGGGCAAGGCCAAGGCGGCAGCTCGGGGCCTTGGCGTCGCGCGCGGCGGAGGGCGGGCCCGCGGGCGCGGCCGCGGCGGTGGCTGAGGCGCAGCTGCGGCGGGCCGCGGGCGTGGCCACGCCCAAGGGGGCGCGGGAGCCGCGGGAGGTGGCCCCGGCGCGGGACCTCCTGCGCTACCCCCCCTAGGCGCGGCCGCCCCCCCGGGCGGTGGAGGTGCTGCGCTGCTGCCTGGTGCCCCCCCGCTGGGGATCGCGGCTGGAGCGCTGCCAGGCCCGCCTGCCGCCGCGCCTGGAGGCGATGCGCCTGGGGCGCCGCCCGGCGCCGTGGCTGGGGTCGGCGCGGCCCTGGAGGGGGCCCTGGCCGCGCTTCCCGCTCCAGGAGGGGGGCCGCTGCCTGGCGCGCTGCCGGCTGCTGCTGGCGCTGGAGGCGGCGGCGTGGCGGCCGCTGCAGGGCCAGCGCCCGTCGGCGGAGGCGCCGTGGCGCTGGAGCGGCTGGAGGACGGCCCTTGGATGGGCTCGCCGGCCTTGCAGCACGGGGCCTTCGCAGCGGGGGCGGTGCTGGAGACGCCCACGCACGACCCCGACGGGCCAGGGAGGCGGGCGTGCCGGGCCCTGACGGGTCTACCTCTCCGTGAAGTTCCGGGGCGCCTCGCTCCCGGCCCGCGCCCTGGAGCTGGACCTGAGCTTCCCCGCCCCAGGCGCCGGGCAGCCAGGGGTCCTGCACCTCTGCGCGGGCGGCGCCGCTGCCTGCAGGGCCCCGCGGCTGGTCGGGCGCGGCGAGCGGCACGCCGACTGGCTTCGCCTGAGGTCGGCTCGGAGCCTGGTCGAGCCTTGGGTGCGGCCGACCTTCCGACCTCCAGGCGGCGGTGGGCCCGGGGGCGGCGCCGCCGCTGCGCCCGCGCGGGGCCGCCTCGCGGGGGCTGCGGCTGGGTTCGCGGCGGCTGCGGCTGCTCTGGAGGCGGCCGGCTCGGCAGCTCGCCCGCTGGCGGTCCGCCGTCGCCGTCGCGAGCAGTCGCGAAGCGACAGCGAGGAGCGGGCTGGCGGTGACCAGCTGGATTTTCTCGACGCCCCCTCCCGCGGCAACGCCATTCAGGCGGTGGCCGACGGGCGCCCAGGCACGCTGCACGACGAAGCGATTGCCCAGATCGCGCGTGTCATGGGCCTGCGGGAGGGGGCGGACGGGCAGAGGGTTCGCCCTCGCATCAGGGGCTACCTCCAGGCCGTGGTGTTCGGCCACCACCCGATCCACTCGGTCGGGGAGCGGACGGTGCGCGAGCTCCAGACGCTGGCGGCAGCGATGGACCTCCTCGAGGACGGGTCGCTGGCGTCGGTCGCGGACACGCTGGTGCAGCGGTTCAAGGCGCTGGAGATGGCGCTGAACGACGGCAACTGGTACATCGCCAACGAGCTGGAGGTGGTCGAGGGGATCCGCCCGACGCTCGCCTCCCGCGACGAGCAGGTGTCAGCGCGGAGGTCGGCGATGCTGCGGCGGCGGCTGGAGGAGGTCCGCGCCAGGGGGGCAGCCCCCCGCCGCTGACCCGAGGGGGCGGCGGCTGCGGAGCCGCCCCGAGCGCCCTCGCCAGGGCGGAGCCGCGGGCGTGGGAGCGACCCCGCTCGCCGCGGCCGGCCCTTCATGGCGACGAGGCGTGGCGCTGCCCGCCCTGGAGGAGCTGCGGCGGCCGCGGGCCAGGCTGCCAGCGGGCCGGCAGATCCCGCGGCCGCTCGCGAGGCCTCGAGGTCCCCCGCCCGAGTGCCCTCCGACGCCGGGGGGCGGCCTCCCTCGCCGCTCCCGCCGAGGACGGCCCGCGGGGGCAGCCCCCGCCCTGGCGCTGCGGCGGCGCCGGGCCGCGTGGCGCTGCTGGGCGCTCCCGAAGTCCGCGCCCTCCGTCAGGACCATCCGGCAGGGGCGCGGCGGCGGCCCGAAGGGCAGGGGCAAGCGCCGCGGGCGTCGGGCGCCGAGAGGGGGGCTGCCTGGCCGCGGCCGGCCGGCGCCCTGGAAGGGCCGCGGCAAGGGCCGCTAGCACTGGAGGCTCGGGCGCGCTCAGCTGATGATGCACGTGAGGATGCGGGCCCTCTGGGCCCAGCTGGAGCTCGTGCTGACCGCGTGGGCGAGCCAGGGCCACCAACTGACTCGCTGGCAGCAGGCCAGGAGGCGGCGCGCGCGGAGGCAGCGTGGCCAGACGCGGGCGCCCCCCTGGCTCCTCCGCAGGTGGCAGGAGAAGGCTGGGGCGGCTGCCGAGTCCTTCCGCCGCCCGCTAGATGCGGGCCCGATCCTCGAGGAGCTGATGCGGGGGGTTCCAGGGTCGCTTGGGGTCTACGTGGACAGGTTTATGCACAGCGGGCATCGGCCAAGTAGACGGGGGCGGCTGCAGCGTGACCTGCTGCCGCTACCCTGTCCCGATCTCGAAGCTTCGGACTTCGCCGTGGAGGAGAAGATTGACCCAGGCGACCTGGCCTCGGGTGATCGTGATGGCTATGAACTGGGAGGCTGGCTATCGTCACCTGAAGTGGGCGGACGTCTGCGGGCCGGAGCCGAACGCAGCCCAGCGCTCGGCCCTCCTCGGGATTGCGCGGCGCATCTACTCGAGCGTCGCGCCCGGGCCCGCCATGGCCGGGACCCTCGACTGGTCCGAGAAGCTGAAGGACCGGGCCATCGCGCACGACGGCTCGGAGGTCTCTACGCCGAGCGAGATCACGCTCGAGCAGATCGAGGGCGGCCTGCCGCCTGTGGGGTAGCCGCCTCCGTCGAGGCCGCGGACCTCGCCACGGGCTTCGTGCGGGCGGCGCTGCTGGACCCCTCCCTGGCCCTCCTGCCGCCGGCTCAGAGGCGCCCCGCGCCGACCTCGACGCGCGTCTGGGCGACGGCGCAGGAGTGGGAGCAGGTGGTGAGCGCCCTGTTTGCTCGCGGGATGGTTGGCCCGATCGACGAGGGCGAGATCGCGACCAGAGACGGGGTCCCCTTGATCAACGGGGCCTTCGGCGTGGCGAAGGTGCACGACGCGCCAGTCCGCCGCGGCGATGGCGAGGAGCGGCCCGCCCTTCGGCTCATCGTCAACCTGATCCCCGCGAACGCGTGCCAGCGCGCCATCGCGGGGGACACCCCCGTCACGCCGACGATGGGGCAGCTGAACGGGCTGGCGCTGGCTCCAGGGGAGCAGCTGCTGGAGCGGGGCGGACCGCAAGGCGTTCTTCTACGTCTTCAGGGCGCCCCCCGCCTGGTGGCCCTACACGGCGCTGGGACCGCCGGTGCCGCGGCGGCTGGTGGGCGGCAGCGTCGACGGGCTGACCCGCGTCGCGCTGAGGGTCATCGGCATGGGCTGGATCAGCGCGGTCGGGGTCACGGCGCACCTCCACCGCAACATGCTGAGGCGGTCGGCCCTGGTCCCCCGCGGACTGCCGCCTGCGGCCGAGGTGGTGCGCACCCGCCGCCTGCCTGCGGAGGCCCAGGCAGACGGCATCGCGATGTGCTTCATCTACATCGACAACATCGAGATCGCGGAGATCGTGTCGAGTGAGGAGGCCGTCAAGCTGAAGGGGACCATCCCCGAGCTGCTGAGCCGGGCGCCGGCCTGCTACGAGGGGGCTAAGTCTCCGGGATCGCCGGGGAAGGATGTCCACCGCGCCCAGCAGGTGTCCTCGCTGGGGGACCTCGTGGATGGCGCGGCTGGCGTGCGGCGGCCGCCGCTGGGCTACGTCGCGGAGCTCGCGAGCCTGACGCTGTGGTTCCTGGCGAAGAAGCGCCCGAGCAGGTGCCTGGCGCAGATCCTGCTGGGGCGCTGGGTTCGCGTGCAATGCTACCGGAGGCCGCTCGCCGTCGCCTTCGTGAATGCTTGGAAGTGGCTGGCGCCGGGCCGCTCGGGCGGGCTCGTCACGGTGGGCGTCGCCGAGGACCTGCTGATGGCGGCCGCGCTCGCACCGCTCAGCGTGGCGGACGTGCGGCTGACCGTCGACCACCTCGTGACGGCGTCCGACGCCTCAGAGGCCGCGGGGGCGATCGTCTACTCCCAGGTGCTGTCGGACATGGGCCGCGCCCTTGGGGCGCGAGGCCCGCGGGCGCTCAACCCCGCCTGTGAGGAGGGCGTCGCGCTGATCTCCGTCTTCTCTGGGATCGACGGGGCGCGCCGGGCCTTCGAGATCCTGGGCCTGGCCCCCGCGGCGCACTTGTCTTTCGAGGTTGACGCCGAGGCTGTGCGGGTGGCTCGACGAGCGTGCCCCAGCACCGTGCACCTGCGGGGCCATGGCCGCATCGCGAAGGTGATCGTGATCGGGGGCTTCCCGCGCCAGGGCTTCACGGTGCTGAACGTGGCCCGTGAGGGGAGCGCGGGCCCGAGGTCGCAGCTGGTGGGCCACATGTGGAGGCTCATCGATGGGCTGAGGCGCGAGCTGCCCGAGGCCACGGTGGACTTCCTCGGGGAGAAAGTGGCGTCCATGGCGGAGGACGAGGTCCTGGCCTTGAACAAGATGTTCGGCCGGGTGCCGGTGTCCCTCGAAACCGCGGACCTGGGCTGGGCCCGCCGCCCGCGGCTGCATTGGCTGTCGTGGGACCTGCTGCCCTCCTTCGAGATGTCGGCCGAGATGAAGGCGGCGGCGGATGGCGCCCGGCCGCGGTCCTGCCGAGTGCGCCTGGTGACGGAGCTGCCGCCCGTCTCGGAGTGGCTGCCGCGCGGGGCCACCTGGCCCGGGGCCGCCGAGGACGGCCGCCTGCCGACCATCGTGCGCTGGACGCCTCGGAGCTCGCCTCGGCCGCGGCCCGCGGGGCTCCGCCAGTGCACGCCGAAGGAGGTGGCGCGCTGGACAGCAGCTGGCTACGCAGCCCCGCCCTACCAGTTTCGGGACTGCTTCTGCTTGCATTGGGCGGATGGGCGGAAGGAGCCGCCGCGGGCAGTGGAGCGCGAGGTGTTGCTGGGGTTCAGGCGGGGCCACGCCGCGCCCTGCATGAGCGGCTCCGCCGCCAAGAGCGACCCCGAGCGCTTCGAGGCCCTGCGGCGGTCGCTCGTGGGCAATTCCTTCCAGTGCGAAGTCGTGGCCTGGCTGCTGAGCCACTGGGCGGTGCACCACGCGCTGCTGGTGGCGGTGACATCCCTGCGGAGCCTCCGCGAGAGCTCGAGGAGCTGGTCGATGGGCCGCAAGCTCTGGGCCGGCGACGTGGAGACGCTGCGGTGTGAGCGCGAGGCCGTGTGCGAGGAGAACCTGCACCTGCTGGAGGAGGCTGGCCGCGTGCCTGCGGCTGGTGATGGGCAGCTGGCGCGCGCCGTCTACGTCGGCCGCGGGTCGCGCCGCTGGGGGCTCGCCCCCTCCAAGTGGGGGAACCCGTGCCCCGTGGTGCCAGGGCGGCCAGCCGGCGACGCCGCGGCGCTGTTCGCGGGCTGGTTGCGCTCCCAGCCCAAGCTCCTGGACCAGCTGGGAGAGCTGGAGGGAGCTCGGCTGCTCTGCCACTGCCCCTCGGGCCAGGCCTGCCACGCGGACGTCCTGCTGGCGGAGCTGGAGCAGCGCGGCAAGGGTTGCACGCGGCCCTTCCTCGAGCACCAGAGGGTGGTGGCCTCGCTGGTGATGACGTGCCACCACTCGGGCGCTGACCTTCGAGTGGATACTGATGCAGAGACGCGTGGCAAGATGTTCCCACGGCAAGAGATCGATGCTGGCATTTGGAAGTGGAAGGTCGCACGCCAGCTCGTCTGGCAGGACCAAGCCAAGCACATCAATGTGTTAGAGTGCGAGGCTGCGTTGATGGCCCTGCGCTGGCGGGCCCGCTCAGTCTCACGGCAGATGTGCGTCTTCCTCCTCCTGCTCGACAGCATGGTGAATATCGGTGCTCTTGCCAAGCGCCGATCTTCGAGCCAGCAGCTCAACAAGGTAGTGCGCGCCTTTTCCATCCTCCAGCTGGCGCTCGGATCGCGGCTGTCTTTGCCTTCACCTCATCGGCAAAGAACCCTGCGGATGCGCCATCCCGCTTGCCCAATGGGTGGGCGCACTTCGCCAGAGGAGAGGCGCGCTACCCGAGCTGCTCTTGGCCGTCTGGCCGACGCGCGCGTGAACACTAGAACGCGCAACAAGTACCAGCGCGCATGCCAGCAGTTTGTCGAGTTTTTGGGTGCTACGCATCTCTCTTTGCCAGTCACGTGGGACGAAATGGATCTCTGCCTTCCAGATTATCTGGAGCATCTCTGGAGCATCGGTGCCTCGAAGGGACAGGCGAACGACGCATTGCCAGGAGTGCAGCATTTTCTGCGCTCGCGCCGCCAGTACCCTGGTGCTTGGCGCCTCCTCTCGGTGTGGTCACGCCTCGAGGTGCCGAGCCGAGCGCCTCCAATGCCCGCTCGAGTCGCCGCCGCCATGGCGGGCTGGGCGCTCGAGCAGAATGAGTTCGCCCTGGCTGCCTGCATTCTTGGAGGCTTCCACCTGTGCCTGAGAAAAGGTGAGATCCTTGGGTTGAACCGGGCCCTGGTCCAGATCGGCCCCCAGGGCCGCAGGGTCGTGAGTCTCCCCTGGACCAAAACAGCTGCCCAGAAAGGCGCCCGGGAGACCGTCGCCATGGACGATCCCTACATCGGGGCCTGGGTGCACCGCGCACTGTTGCTGGACCCTGCCGGCAAACTTTGGAGCTGCGCGCTCCCGTCTTTTCACGCCGCATTTAAGCGTGCTGCTGCTGGCGTGGGCTGTCGCCACGCCCGCCTCGCTCCGTACAGCCTGCGTCGAGACGGGGCCACGCACGAGTATCTATCGTCGAAGAATCTTGAGCGTGTCATGCTGTGTGGGCGATGGAGCTTCATCAGGACCGCCAAGATATATATATATATATATATATATATATATATATATATCGAAGACGGGGCCGCCATCCTTGCCGAAATGCAGTTCAGAGGCGAAACTCAGAGATGGATCGGTCATTACTCGTCCTCCTTTGTCTCTCGGACCAGAGAGGAATTCGGCTGAATAGCCAGGGTGGGGCGGGTGGAAAGGATCGAGAGGCCTCGACTCCCTCTGATCGCTGCCCGGAACGCCGCTGTGCCGACCGTTCTTGGGTCGACCGTCTGGGTCCCTGGCCGAGCGCGATGAGGCGCGGAGAGTGGAGTCGAGGCCCCCTCAGATCCAAGTCAAAGTGCTATGGCCATGTGGAAAATGGATGGGGCCCTCTGGAGGCCCCCCTACCCTGTGTGCTTCCGCAACCCCGCCTCCCCCCAACCGCGCTTATATAAACGCTTGCGGTAGATAAGTCGGGGGTGGGGGATCAGGGGTGCCGAGCAGGCATGGCCGTAAAGAGATTGCATGGCAGTCGCTGTTGCCCGCCCGTTCCCACCCTTGGCGACTGTTTCAACCTTGCTAAGACCCGCAAGGATCGAGAGGCCTCGACTCCCGACTCCCTCTGATCGCTGCCCGGAACGCCGCTGTGCCGACCGTTCTTGGGTCGACCGTTTGGGTCCCTGGCCGAGCGCGATGAGGCGCGGAGAGTGGAGTCGAGGCCCCCTCAGATCCAAGTCAAAGTGCTATGGCCATGTGGAAAAAGGATGGGGCCTTCTGGAGGCCCCCCTATCCTGTGTGCTTCCGCAACCCCGCCTCCCCCCAACCGCACGTATATACATATATATATATATGTATATATATGCATCTGTATATATATATATATGCACATATCGGTATAGGTGTATCATGCCCATGCATATGTATATGTATATGTGTATATATACATACCCATACATATTGTTATTATTGTTAATATATTTATACATATACACTGTAGTGGCATCCGGCCAGTGCCGCCGATCCGGGGCACTCTGGGGGATGATGGTGTTGATGATGTTGATGATGATGGTTGTGATGATGAGGGCGATGATGGTGACGATGATGATGATGATGACGATGATGATGCTGCTGCTGATGATGATAAGGATGATGACGGTGATGATGCTGATGCTGATGGTGGTGCTGATGTTGTTGATGATGAAGATGATGACGATGCTTGTGCTGATGATGATGATGCTGTGGATGATGATGGTGATGATGATGAGTAGGATGAGGATGCTGATGATGCTGATGACGATACGGATGATGACTGTTCTGTTGATGATTATGATGACGATGAGGAGGAGGATGATACTGATGATGATGATGAGGAGGAGGAGGATGGTGATGATGATGCGGCTGTTGATGATGATGATGATGGTGATGCTGCTGATGATGATGATGGTGGTGGTGGTGGTGATGATGATGATGCTGATGAAGCTGATGATGGTAATGTGATGGTCATGGTGATGGTGACGATGATGATGATGATGGCGATGATGATGATGATGATGATGATGATGAGGTGGATGGTGATGATGATGGTGGTGATGGTGATTGTGATGGTGACGGTGATGGTGATGGTAGTGGTGATGGTGATGGTGATGGTGAGGCTGAGGGTGAGGGTGAGGCTGATGGTGATGGCGATGGTGATGTGGGCTTGGAAAGAGGAGGAGGAGGAGGAGGAGAAGGAGGAGGAGGAGGAGGAGGAGGAGGAGGAGGAGGAGGAGCAGGAGCAGGAGCAGGAGCAGGAACAGGAGGAGGAGGAGGAGGAGGAGGAGGATGAGGAGGAGGAGGAAGGAGGAGGAGGAGAGGAGGAAAGCAGGAGCAGAGAGGAGCAGGAGCAGGAGCAGGAGCAGGACAGGAGCAGGAGCAAGGAGCAGGAGCAGGAGGAGGAGGAGGAGGAGGAGGAGGAGGAGGAGGAGGGGGCCGCACCGGGGAGGGGGGCCGGCATCTGGGAGTGAGCGCCGGTACCGGGGGGGGAATGTCGGCGCGCGGGGGGGGGGGGGGGGGGGCGCACAGGAGGGCGGTGCCGGCAGGGCGCGAGGCCGCCACCAGGGGGGAGGTGCTGGCACGCCAGCGCTGGAAGGTTGGTGCCGGCACCGGGAGAGAGGGTGCCGGCACAGGGAGGAGGAGTGCGAGCATCGGGGGGCGGGTGCCCGCAAAGGGGGGCGGGCGCCGGCACCGGGAAGGGAAGTGTCGGATGCGAGGCCCGGGGAGGTGCCAGCACCGGGGGGGCCGGGTATCGTGGGTGGGGGGGGGTATCGAGGAGGGGGTGCCGAGCACACGTGCGGGCATCGGGGGGTTGGTGCCTGGAGGGGGAGGGAGGGGGAGGTGCTGGCACGCCGGCATCGGAGGGGGTGGTGTGGGCACCAGGGGGGGGAGTGCCGGCACCGGAAGGAGGTGCGAGCACCGGGGGGCGGGTGCCGACACTGGGGGCCGGGTGCCGGCACGGGGGGGGGGGAACCCCAGGGGGGGTGCCTGCGGGGGGGGGGGGCAGCACTGCTGGCGTAGCGACTTCGGTTTAGCAAAGTAGAGTGCCTTATCACACTTATAGATGTAGCTGTCTCAGATGCAAATGTACTTACCGAAGCCGCAACTATACTTACACGGTGTCCCTAACCATACTTACACAACAATTTATAATCGACATATAACCATCTTATAACTTTCATAACTTTCATAACTTCTTCAATTTCCATGCCCCTCCCCTCCCCTCCCCCCCTGTGGTTCGGTAGTGAGCCAGTAGGACGGCGAGAAGAAAGGAGGGGGGAAGGAGGAGGACAGCGATGCATTCGCTAACGCATTCCTGGGTATGAGCGATAAATTCGCTATGTGGTTCTCTGAGCGATCAATTCGCTGTGCAATTATCTGAGCGATCAATTCGCTATAAGCGATGAATTCGCTATGTGGTTCTCTGAGCGATCAATTCGCTGTGCAATTATCTGAGCGATCAATTCGCTATAAGCGATGAATTCGCTATGAGGCCCCTGCCCATGCCGCCCCCACTGCGCCATCATTCGAAGCCGTTTGCATACGCAAGCCCGCGCGTTTTTTTTTGGGTGGGTGGGGCCGCATAGCCATGGCTGCCCAGCGCTTGCGCGACCAAGTCGAGGCCGTCGGGCGATTGCTCGAGGCAGTGCAAGGGCAGCCCTGTTTCGATACGGTGGCGGCCGCGCAGGAAAGGATGCTCGTGCAGGCTTTCGGGAGCGCGAGGCTGCAGCCCACGCAGGTGACAACCCTCTCGTCTCTCGTCGCAGCGCAACCCTGGTCCGAGGTTTCCAAGGGGAGGCTGTTGGAGAAGCTCGGCAGCATCGTGGCTTCTGGCAGCGCCGTGGGTTTGCGAATGGCTCAGCAGGATTATGAGTGCATCTTCGGGTACCTGACAGCGGGCTCGTGGCACCAGTTGGCGCGGACCGACGTGCCCGAGGAAGCGAAGCTCAACGTGCTGGTTGATGTTGCGATTAGCTTAGGTCTTCGCAACCCGACCGAAGGCACGTATCAGATGTTGACGGCGATGTGGCGCATGGCCGTGGACGGAGCCGAGACCGCGAAGAATTTGGCGTGGGCTGCAAAGTACTCGTACCTCCAGCAGACCAAGCGCGTGTTCAAGCGCCAGGCTGCAGCTGAAATTGCGGCCCTCGTCGAGGGGAGGGGGACCTAGGAGAAGGGAGGGTGGGGGAGGAGGAGGAGGAGGGGGAGGAGGAGGAGGAGGCAGTTTCCCCTGGCCGCAATTTCACCCACGAAGGTTTCGAGGCTTCCTGCGCCCCCCGTTCGGCTGACCGAGCTGCCTACGTCCCCCTCGACGTTCTGCGAGGACCACCCTGGCTTCTTCAAGCAAGTGTATGGCGACGAGTTGCCAGCTGCATGCCCCGCGCCAGAAGCCGCGATTCGCTCCGTCCAGGCTACGTACCCATGCCGCAACACAAAGCAGCAGGCCACGGGGGCGCAGATGATGAGCGCCTCGGCGTCGCAGCCCGACGTTTTGCAGATGATGCAGCTCATGTTCGATAACTTGCGGCGGGCGGACGTCGGCGCTCAGACGGGCCCTTTGAACCTCAAGATCCTGGGAGGCGGCGCGAAACGTGCCGCGGCCTCGGCGTTCGCAGCCGTGGAGGACGCTGCCCCGAGTTCTCTTCCATCTTCCGCCTCAGAAGGGGCACCGTCGCCAGCAGCGCCAACGCCACCGTCGCCAGGGGCGCCTGCAGCAGCCAGCGTCGCCAAAAAGAACGTGACTCCCCCCAAGAAGGAGGACGTCGCCTCGGTCACCGAGGACATCCTGCACGGACTCGTGGCCAAGGAGAAGGGGGGGGGCCCGAAGCCGAAGGCAAAGGGGAAGGCAAAGGGGAAGGCGAAAGCAAAGGCGACGAAGGCTGGGGCTAAGACGACGGGCGAAGGCCACGGGAAGGGCGTCACCGTGTCACCCCTGTTCAAGCCCATCAAGAAGCTCGGGTGTTCGAAGTGTCGTTACGCCAAAAAGGGGTGCTCGAGTTGCAAAGAGCGGCTCAGGATTTCAAAGCTGCTGGGTAAGTAGCTCATAATGTGTGTAGGTTTCCTGAGGCGCTCTCGGCCGCGCTGGGTCCGCCACGCACTTTGCCAGATGTATTTCGGCCTGAGCCGTGCCACACGCCGCGCGCTCATAGTCATGCTACGGTGTTTCGGACAGAGCGTCCAATGCATTTCGCTACCGCGCTTCTGTATATGGGGCCCTGGAGAGCGCATCCTAGCGTTTGGGTAAGCCGCGCGAGCGCCCCAGGGAACCCTGCCGCTCACTTTTACTCTTGTGAGGGCGTGCCTTACCGTTGCCTGCGATGACAAAAAAAAACAGCGATCCACTCGCTAAGCGATTCATTCGCTTGGGGATAGACAGGGTGAGAGGGGTGAGAGGGGAGAGTGATGGACCGCTGACTTGGAGAGGGGTAGGAGGGGTGAGAGGGGTGAGAGGGGAGAGGGAAGAGAGGAGGGTGAGAGGGGAGAGTTATGGATGAGGCCT